AACAACTCAATTTTATATAATTCCAGAATGGGTTGATGGTCTTATATTGCATGTGTTTAACCTGATCTCTCTATTCAAGGCTGCCAACATTTGAAACCTGCAATCTGTATATGGCAGGAGGAGAGGGCAACAGTTATTGTGGAAGGGTTATCTCGGTTAAATATGGGGAGTACACTAGAAGGATTGGTATTGATGGAACTGCAGATGCAATTAAGGAGGCTATCAAGTCTGCCTTCAGGTTAAGAACAAAGAGGGCATTTTGGTTGGAGGATGAAGATCAGGTTGTCCGGACTCTTGACAGGGACATGCCAATAGGAACTTACACTCTTCACCTTGACGAAGGCAATCTTGAATCTTTACTTCAGATTTCGAAACTTAAAATCTGTTTTAGAGAAATTAGATAAGCTTATTTTTCTTTCCAAAACATTTTGGCAGGAATAACAATCAAAATTTGCCTCTACCATGATTCTGACCGCATAACTACAGAAGAGGCAACATTATACACGGAAGATGATTTGCGCAATCTCCTTGCACGGCGTGGCTTGTCGGGACTAAGAGAGATAGATAGCTATAGATCTGTTGATACTTTGGATGATCTAAGACCTGGTGCGGTATACCAGGATGCGAGGCTTATGGGGGAATAATAAGTTTTACCTTATATCGAAGATGTTTTGCATTTGATGTTGGATTTTCCTGGCTTAGAATGCAGCTGGTGTAGAGATGGTTAGGCATTAGATTCAGCAAATTGTGAGATACATATTATATCATCCGTAATCGTTTTCTTTGTACAGTCAATAGTCACAGAGTTGATCTCTATCAACCAGGCTTCTCAGGTTTTTCTGTTCCTATAGTTCATCTCTATCCTCAGTATATAATATGATGACTTGCTTGTTCTGGTTATCTTCTTTAACATGGTCCAAGTTTTTTTTATTGGTAAACTACAAATGCCATGTATTTTTATTGTCTCAAGCTAGGACCTATATTTTTAATTGACTCTTAGAATATGCACTTTTCAAATGTTTAAAAACTTGGATCTGTTGCTTTTATTTATTTATTTTTAATAAATTACTCCTGGAAAACAATTTCAATCTGGATTTGAAGGCCGTACTGAAGCTTGAATACTCATGTTGTTGTTATAACTGAAATTGGTGTGTGCAATTCAATGCATGTTTTGTGTTTTGTTCGTTTTTTATAACTTATTAGTTTTTGGTAGGGCATTTAAAGGTGTATTTATTTATTTAAAAAGTAAAAGGTAATAATTTTATATAAAATGAAGACGACAAACATGACTATATGCCAGTTTTTGTGTATGTTGTTGTAGAAAGTCATATCAAATTGTAATATGAGTTTTGAAAAATTAGGTATAGTTTAAAACCTTGATGAATTGGACTTTTCAAAAATCTAGATTCATTCCATTTTCTGTCGGTCTTATTATTGCTTCGTGATGTATGATGATTCTTTTCTTCTTTTCTTTTTTGGGTAACAATTTATAAATCTTTTCCTCATTATGCAAGAGCTTTAATGCAATCCACTCTCACAAAAGCAAGAGGCAAGTCTGTGGACAAAAATGCTTGCTTTGCCTCTACATATGTTCATATATACGTACATGCAAATCCTGTCTTTGACATGTACAATATATGTATTATATATTCTTTTTCTAATACATAATTCTCAACACCACTTGACGGGTGACCCAGAACTGAATGTCTATTCTCGTTATGTTGTCCACGATGGCATATTCTGGTATATGCCTTTTCTAAAGTTGTAAGTATAGTCTCCCTCTATACATCCTCAACAACAAGAAGATTAGAAGAGAAACCAACTCGGTGGGGTAGATGGGGATGACAAAAATAGAGTTAGGTAAAGAAAAATGTAGGGAATGAAGCATAAAGAAATAATTTTTTCACTGCACTCTTTTTAAACATTACGACATTTAATTTTGTTAAGAATATATGATTTTTAAGTTTATAAATGTGTCTCATCTATAATGTTTTCTTCAATAAATTTAGATTTAATTTATGATTATATTAATTGGACTGTGAAAGCTTAATTTTGTCTTGTCAAATGAACATTTGGTAGCATTTATGTTTCTTTAGTTTTAATTTG